GGGAGCGGGGCCGGCAGGGACGCGCCCGCCCTCCCGGGAGCTGCGTACCCCGAGAGATGGGGCTCGCTGGCCTCTGGGGAGGAGCAGGGGGGAGAGGAAAGCACCACGGCAGGTGAATACCTTCATGCTTTGAAAAGTACTGTTAACTGGGTGTAACTCACCCAACGGGAGCACGCAGAGACGCGGGCTGCCCCGGCAGCCCAGCCGCTCCTCAGCTCTGCTGGAGGGGCTCGCATCTCTCGTTTAAAGCCCAGCGGGAATCTGCAAGGGCGTTAACAAAATCGGCGTTTAAAACCATACTGCGGATTGCACGTGCAATAGCAGTATTTCTACAAAGCAAATACATCTACCCATACCTTCATCGTGGGTATCACACTGTCTCTGAGCCCTTGAAGTTACAAAGCAGTTCAAAAACTAGGAACTGCCACAGCTGAGATTGCCTGCAAAACCATAACTGGGTTATTCTGAATGAATGAGTCAGTCTTTATGAATAAATTATGATGTGAGAATGTAATTAATGGACCCCTGCCTCATACCTGAGCATAGCTAACTAGTCATTTTGCAAGTATTTTGTTTTTTGTCTCCTGCTTATTAAATAAATGTCCTATTTATTAAGCAGTATTAAAGACTAGTTGTAATTATTTCAGCCCATTTCCTCGTAGGTTTTCTAAGGTATTCACCAGTATATGGATATACTTCATTCTTTCACATTTCTGTGAAATTATATTATTACCTCTCGTTTTCAGATAGGTAGGTGAGCTGACACAGAACAGCAGCCACTCATTTTAGGTTCCTGTGGCAACATGTTAGAACATGATTTTACCCACAACTACTTAAAATGATGTGCAACTTCAACTACTCAAACCCTGGCTCTCACTGAGTGCTGCAGTAGCTTGGTACTCCAACGCCAGGATATTCAGCAGGCTGGGAGCACAGCATTAGTGAACATCAGTAGGCATTGTTTTAAAGTGATTAAATTAACCTCATGTTTAACCTTTGTGACAGCTGCAAGGTCAAAATCCAGTTTTCCAGAATAGCATTCAGTTGCCTTAATTAAGATATTCTCATTTGTCTTCTTGCACTTTTTTTTCGTGCAAAGTCACCAAACCACATCTTGAAATTAGAATTGTCTTAAAACGTATTTTGTGCACAGTTCAAATGCAGCCATGTCTGGGGTGGGAAAAAAGGTATTCATGTGACTAAAGACCATAAGGTAAGGTGCTTGCATAATGGGGCTAACTTAAGGCCCCACCAAGCTCACTGCCCCAATTCTGCTTCCTGACCTCAGCCTCACTTCAGCCCCTGGAAAGGTCATGGAGCAAATCCTCCTGGGGACTGTCAAAAGTCAACTGAAACACGTGATTGGGAAAAGCCAATATGGATTCACCAGGAGCAAATCATGCTTGACAAACCTCATGGCCTTCTGCAACCAAGTAACTCGCTCAGTTGATGCAGGGTGAGTGGTGGACATTATCTACCTGGACTTTTCCAAGGCTTTTGATATGATCCCCACAGCCTCCTCCTGGAGAAACTGACTCATTAAGGCCTTGACAAGTTGTCTGTGTGGTGTTGTGGGGAACTAGCTGACAGACCATACCCAGAGGGTGATAGTAAATTTTTCACCATGAGGACCATCAAACATTGGAATAGTCTCCCAAGGGAAGCGGTAGATTCCCCCACATTGGACAGTTTTAAGTCTCAGCTTGACAGGGTGCTGAGCCATCTCAGATGAACTATAGTTGTATCTTAAAGGGTTGTCCCAGATTATCCTTGACGTCCCTTCCAACCTTGCATTCTATGATTCTATTATTTTATTTAACTCAGATTACAAAGCAGCTGGGACACAGACTTTTCCTTTGGTCATATTCAGAATATCTACAGGACAATACAGTCTTGGTTTACTCCTGGATGTCCAAATGCTGTAACACTAGTAATTGCAATGGTATAATCATACAGTTATTCTGTAGAAAAATAAGTATCAAAGCCTTCAATTACAAAGTCTTAATATTTTTTCTGCTGTCACAGATATTATCAATTATTAAAGCTTATGTTTTTCCCAATCTATATCCAGTACCGAGAGTAAGGTTAATAAACTGTTCTCATACAAAAATAAATAATTAGTTTAGTTAGTAAGACAACTCTCATCAGCAGCTTTCTGCTAATTTTTTTTACTCATCCAACTTCTTAAGAACTGCTGTAAATAGCTTGGAGCTGCACCACAAGGAAATGCTGCCCATTGCCATAAATGCTCTTCCATGCGTTACCTCAACATCAGTGATGACATGAAGCCCTAAAAACGTCATATGGTGTCTCAGTATTTATCTGCTGACCTAGACCTCCTGCTTTAGTACTGACATGGGATAGTTAAAAGTTCCTAAATACAGTCCTGGTTTGCAGAAATAATGCTGAGAATACCTTAAACAACAGCAAAACCCAAAGAAAATGAAACAGAAAAAAATAAGCAACACTTCTTTGAATTTCCCTGGAAATTACTCCAAACAACTGCCACCCACAGCTTCTTTGTCTAAAAATTAGGAAAAACAGAACTCCGTTATAGAGGACAGATTTGTACAAATGTAAAATACTACATTCTCCAAAATAGCAACACAGACAAAATTTCATGCTACAACAAGGAGAAAATACTGCAATGCTTAAGGCATCTAAATTTAGCAGATTAGTGGTCCTAGACCAAAGAACATATGCTAGTCCTTGCCAGTTATGGGGCTGGAAATGACTCAAGTCTACCATTGCATGCTGCCTTGAAGGGAGGAAACCACCGCAGCTAGTCAGAATGTTGTTCAGTATTCTGTTCACTATAAATGGAGGTAAGAAGGTACTGGGGTCAAGGAGCATGACCCCAAAGAGTCAAAAAGAAAACCTTTATTGTTTTCAAGTACTGGTGTTTGATATCAAAGCTTAAAAAAATAATTATTTTATATCTGCATGTTTGATTCAAGAAAATAAATAAAGTTTTTCTTTCACAGTTTATAAAGACACTCTTGGGGAAGCTCATTTTAGAAACCGAAGAGGAATTCTTGAATTAGCTGGAGCAATTAGATGCACCACAGGACGATCTCCCTTTGCCTACCTACGTTATGGATGCTACTGCGGACTGGGAGGAAGAGGATGGCCCAAGGACAGAGTAGACTGGTAAGAGTAACTATTTGATTAATTGAATGCTGAATGTATGCAGATGACAGAGCAAAAAAACTAATGTTTGAATTAGGCTTATTTAATATCAGTGAAGGAGAAGAGTTTAAACACACCTCAGACTGCTAAGAAGCTTTGAAGCATTAAAATTGTGTTACTGTAGATCTACGTGAATCCTACCTGCCTTTAACTCAAACTCTCAGTGCAATAATACTGGATTCACAGTACAATCGAGTTCCTGTGCTGTTGCTGTTTGGCCAAGGGCTGAAGAAATAATTTTCTCTTCTTGGAGAAAGAAGCTTTAAAGCTCAAACAATAAAACTATCTATAAAAAGAAAACAAATAAATTGTAAAATCTTTTGATTCTACTGCCATCCAGCCATTTGATTAGTATTCAAAATAATACATAGAAAATTATGCAAAATTCAACCTGTTGAAAAATAACTTTTTCCTAAAATTTTTCCTAACATAATTCTAAAATCAGACATTTTTATTTAGTAGTAAATCTCAGCATAACAACTACCATCAATTTGATTTGTAATTGAATATTAGCTGACAGGAAGGTGATTTCCTGGTTACAGTAAAGGTGTCGCATTTTCCAGTTTTTCATCATAATGATACATTTCCCCACTGTGTGTGACATCTCAAGGTCTGATTTATCAGACAGATAGATAAGAAATTAAAAGGAAAACAAACATCACTTCTAGGCTAGACTACAGGAAGTTCAAATCTGATTTTTTTTTTCATAAAGTTTTTAGTTGTGATTGGATCTAAAACTTTTAGAATCTTTGCCTACATATTTAAAAGTTTTTGGATGTGTAATCTATAATTTTAAAGATAATTCTGTGTAATGCAGTTGCTGCTTTAATGATTGGGAACACACACAAATGGAAGTGATTGTTACTACTTCTTGTCATCTATATACCTAAGGACACTGAAGGAGAATCTGCAGTTTGTCAGTTTTTCAGTGTGGGCCATTTTTTTCACTTTGGAGAAGTCCCAAAGTAGCAAGAGGCTCCTTCTTTACAAAACACAATTAGCTATTTGTGGTCTGGGTTTTAACAGCTACAGAGGGGTAGGAACAAGCCAGAAGTGAGTGTACTTACTCTGCAGCCTTTGAATTGCACTGAGTGTAGAGACAAACATTCTTATCAAGTTTGATTTCTTAAAGTTTTGAGCTACCTTGTAGGCTGTTTACATTCAAGAAATACACCTGAAAAAAAGTGAAAATACAGAAGTACTTGATCTGAGGTACAAATGTCTGTAATAGGATTATTCAAATAATATGAGTTGCAATTTAGATTTTCGCCTGCCACTTACAAACCTTTAGGTTGACATAATCATATATTGCTTTCATAAAATAAAATGTAGAATCCTTAAGCATTTATTTTTATTTACAATGTTTAAAAGAAAGTAATTATTTTCAAACACATTAAAATAGACTATACTATTATTTCCTGATTTATTTACCTTAGTACTCTACGACAACTCACTAGAATGTAACTTTTTAAGTATTTCTATGCATGAAATGGATGTATTGAGCTACTTCACTGGCATGTGCTTTTCAGCTCTTACATACCACAGGATTTTTAAATGGAGATTTGTGTGGAATTACCAAGTAATTATTTAATAAGCATAGGAAAATTGGTAATTGCAAGTTAGAGCTCACAGCATTAACTTTTTCTATTGCAGACATAAATTCCTCAGGCAATCTAAATGTCACTTAAACACCTATGCCTAAAATAATATGATGGTTTTAGGCTACCAGGAGAAAACTGCATGACTGAATGCAGAGCTCACAGAGACATCCTGTTCTTTCATTGAGGAGAAAAAAACCCCACATACATAGTTAGTTTGCAGCAAAAACTTACAAGCCATCTGATTTCAGGTCCTTGTTACCTCCCCTACTTGCCATTATGGACTTGGAATTACTCTATGCCAGAAGAGTAATTCCTTTTTAAAGCATTAAAATATGCCATTATTGCTTACCTGTACTGTCCAGTTCCATAATGTGACATAAAGTCACTTTCTATTAATTGTCCCAATTATAACCAGAACAATTTTGAAATAATTTTGGTCAATTCTCCAAATTTTCTCATGATCTGAGCAAACCATTTTAATTATATTATGGAACTAAAGAGCACCTGTGCCTACTCATTACTGAACATTGCATCTATTCTAAGCTTTTCCACCACCACCTAAGGACTTTGCTGTAAGATTACATTTATTATAGTACGTGACAGACTAACAAGGCTGTTTCTCCTTTCCTGTAGAAGTTTTACAAGCATCAATATGTGGCAGAAAAATACATAATTCATTATCTGACAGACTATTCTGGCATTTAATCTTTTTCTTGGGAGGGGCTAGGAGAGAGGCCTATCCCCATCAAAGTTTATTGCAGTTAAAACTGAGAATGTTGTAAAGATTCTTTGTATGTTCATCTATGACAACGTTCAACTAGATCCATGTGTATTTGACATTTCACTCATCACTGATTACCTGAAAAAGTAATGATTTTTTTTCAGGTGACCCTTAAAAAAATTATTCTGTTTTGATTCCTGAGTAAGTAACTTCATACATTCCCATGTGTTGACTGTTTTATTATTTCACAGCCTGTAGAAACATGCTGCTAAAACCCATCCAGATTATGTGCCCATAGATGACCACAGTTTTGAATTAAGATAAGCCCCTTTCTGTTACTCTCAGGTGCTGCTTTGACCATGACTGCTGCTATGAGAAGGCAGAACAAGCAGGTTGTCACCCTAAGACAGAAAGGTACCACTGGGAGTGTGAAGACAATGCTGCTGTGTGTGGTGAGTGAAGAGCTCCAGTTGGTTTTGGTTTTCTTTAGTTTTGGGTGTTTTGTTTTTTAATATACTTCTAGTAATTGTCCTACTGACTTCACAGAAACACATTTTCTTTATTAACTGTAAAATTCTGTAAAATCCTTCTTTTTGTGACTTTTTTTGCCAGGGTAAGCTGTGCCTCCAGAAAGCACAGCTGCATCAACCCACCAAATGCAGTTTCTTCTTCTAAATCCCCACCTACTGCCATACATAAGCAAACAGAATTCTGAGCTACAAGCTTCTATTACGCTTTCAGAAAACACTACCAAACTCCCCCTACTCTTTTTCTCAGCACACGCATATGTTGAGGAACCCATTACAGCTATTTAAAAAATGATCCTTTTTATAGTTAGCAGAAAATATTTCACATTATTTTTATGATGGATGCTTTTTGGCATACTTTCTACTGACCAGTTGCACAGCCCACAGTGAGTAACTGCAATTTATGAATGAACTCACAATTACAACTTACCATTTCAAAATCTGAGGTAATATTTGATTAATATCTTTATGGAAGTAACTTGTGCACAACCCATAAAATGTTGATTGGAAAATATTTACATAATTAATCTAAAAGTAGCAACTTGGGTGATCACATCCTGATAAATTTTGTTCAATTGCTGCAAAATATGCATGTAATATACTTGCCCTACTTGCCCCTAGTTCAAAAGAGAAAGACAAGGAGATCTCAACAAAACAAACAAAAATGCTTAACAGGAAAAGCAGATTTTCTTTTAGATTATTTGTTCACAACGCCCAAAGTTTTAGCAAATATTTTACAATACACCTCAATGCACTTTTTGAAACTGTAACTTCTCACAAGCCCCTGACATTTGCAGGGATTTTTCTTGTTGATAGGTTTTGGGATTTTTTTTTGTTGTGTTTTTTTAATGTTTGTTTTTTGGCGTTTCTTTGGTTTGTGTGTTGTTTGGTTTTTAAAATCAGATGCTAGGTGAGTTACTTTGCATGACATTTTATACTACCATATAAAATACAAATCAGCTTAAGAATTGGTTATTATTTCCACCACAAAAAACACAGACCTTTACATAAGGTTGGTGAGAAACTCAGACTGGTAAGCAATGTATTTTAAAGGCAACACAGCCTGTCCAGAGAAAACACAAACCCCTCTCATTCCACAACTCAAGTTAGAATTTTCTTGACCTGAAATAAAATGAAAGGTTTTTTACACTCTTCCCTTTCCTCCCCTTCATTCAACCCTTACTTTGCCCAAGTGTTTACCTTGTGCAGAATCTCTACAATCTCCTCCTCTGCTCCAGAAGTACTAAGTGTCTTCTCTCTCAAACTACAAGCTCCTGTTCCAGTCCAAAAGCTGACAATATTTAGAATACTGGCAAAGATAGTAGGCATGTCATCAAAAAACAAGGGTGAAACAAAGTCCTTGGTGTATCATGGAGAAGATTAAGTTTGTAGCAACAACACAAGAAAGAATAGCTCTTCTCAGTTAATGTCTGGAGTTTTTTCATCCTATCCTGTTGGTTTATGCTACAAAAGCTATTGAGTAGTTCTTAGGGTAGTTAGTTGCAGCATCAACATATAGACGTTCAGCACATTTCCATTTCATAGCAATTTGAGTTCATTCACAAAACTGAATGCTTGCTCTGCTCCTAGACAAATCACAAGCAGAGATTCAGCTAAGCTTTCAAAATATTAAATGCACAAACAAAATATAATAAAGGATTCATCAGACAGCTACAGAGAAAAAAATCACACAAGTCTGGGTTGGCACAATAAAACCAAAATTCAGTGCTGTGCAAGAAAATGTTCATACCAAGAAATCTGTTCAGTTATAGCACTACAATTATAAAAGAAATACAGCCAGACACAGATTTTATCATACTTGAACAGACTTTACCTACCTTCTTACTGAAGGCCTCAATTAAAAAGGTGGGCAAGTTAATCTGAACATGGAACATCTTTGCATCCCTTATTTCACATATATAATTTTAATGCTACATCCTTCAGTAGCTTAAAGCCTATGTGAAACGGAAAAGGTCTTCCCAAACTGGAGTTTCACTAGAGTAACAGGGTGGGCCGGGAGGGTCGCATACCACTCTCTGAAGAGGAATCAGTTATCAAGAGTTCCTTTACTAATGAATTTGGAGTATTTTAGTCTTTATTTTATTTTTCACCTGCCAAGGTAGTTTCACTGATTATCAGTTGTCACCAAACCAAACCATACTTGTGTATTTTCTGTTGTTGAGATGTCCTAGCATGCAGCTCTGTCTAAAGAACAGAAAGGCAAAACAAGTAAATCCTCCTGGTGCTCAGTAGAGTTCCTATTGCATTTGAAATATAATAATAGAGTGCGAGGTAGCAATTCTTGGTATTCCATTTGGTATTTTTAATTTCTTCAGACTAATATAAAACTTAATGTGTTTTCTTTCAGACTCACTAGAAGACCAATGTCAAAAAATAGCATGTGAATGTGATCGTGAAGCCGCCATATGTTTTTCTAAAGCTCCCTATCATACAAAATACCTTTTGTGGCCGGACTTCATGTGTGGTGAGATTCAGCCTTTATGTAGGTACTAGATGTCAGACTTCATAAGAACTCTGTATGTATTAAAATCTAAAATGACTTTTTTTTTTTTTTTGGTCACAGTAATGAAAACTAATTATTTTCCCCTTTCTTGAGCCTCCTTCCTGCCACATCAGCCTCTCTACCCTAAAATGGCCAAAGTAAACATCTGACCTCCCACTTACTTTCTACAGTGCACAGACCAAAATAAAATTCATTAGTTCTGTGTAAGCTTTTATAGATTAAATAGGAATGTATCACCTTAAGGAGTAAATGACTTAAAATTAATTTTATTTATATTCAGATTCACAATTTTTCAGATTTGTAATATTCACTGTAAATGTTCATCCCCCCTCCACTGGACATAAAATACAAATCACTTTTCCACTAACATTTACAATTGTTAACTTTGTGCCCTCTCATCTATATTAAACACTTATTATTAAGTCTAATTTAACTTTTGTATCTCATTCACTTTAAGTAGTCCCAGCTGTATTTAAAAATGCCTATTTTTATTTTTTTTTCTAGTATTTACTTTTAAAATACAGTTTTCTAAGAAGTTGTCAATTTGGTATGGCTCAAGCTCCTTACTCTATGTACACGTTGAGTTTTCTTTGGGCACAGGGAGAAGTTCTACCCTTGAAACTTCAGGGCCAGATTTAAAAGTGTAAATGCAAACCATCACCAGAACAGATACACAAAAAAGCAGCAGTCACTGGGACCAAATGCCTTCACCATAAGTGTTTGATCTTAGATACTGTGAGTTTGCAAAGTTCAGAAGTCTATGTTTCTCATAAGGATGTAAAGATGTTTTTAGCTTGGATCACACTAGTTTTTTGAAACCTCATAAGAAATCAGTGACACAAATTGCTAAATAATATAATTAGCAGTTATGAAAAAGTGTAATAGTTTAAGAACATGGAGTATTTTATGTCTACTTTCACTCACCTCGACATACTTAAAGATGCAGGACTACAGAACAAGTTTACACAGGTAATGACAAGTATTTCAATGTAAAACAAATAACACTTCTTTAGGAAGGATGAAGATTTCAAAAGAGATCTTTAATCTTTAAAAATTGTAAAAAGCAAATTTACATTTCATATTAATGAAGCAAATGAAAAAATAGCAAACCAATACAGAAGGCAAGGGGACAAAGCTCTTTAAAAAAAAAAATAAATCTAACTTTTGCTTCAGTCAAAACCCACACATTAACAAATGGCAATCCTGTTTACACAAAATAACTTTCCAGTCAATATTTGCTCACAAATCAAGATACGCACTTTATATTGCAGAAAGATTTCATTACAGTGTCAGGTCACTTTTCCAAAATATTTTTTTTTGTAAGAGATAGCCCTGAATTCAAGAACTAGCAACAGACTTCAAGAGAAGAGCACTAAGGAAACTACTGATGAAGTCAAACCAATCTGAATGGCAATATCTCATTTTCCAGAAAACAGAAAAACTCAAGAT